TTAGATCTATATTTAAGGCCTGTAACTCCTGAATGATTTGCAGCTACATGTGCTGAAATCCGGTAATATTAATATAAACCAAACCCGATCAAAGCAGTCAGTGGACAAAAATATCTATTTTTTATAAGGATAGGATTATTCTGAAACAGAATCAGAAGGAGGGCGGCATTAATTAGAGAAGCGGCTACTATTTCAAAGTTATTGTACCTGTTGCAGGACACCTGATTTGTGCAACCACAGTTGAATGACCCAGCACACCACACACAATAACTGAAAAATATTTAGAGATACTGAAAGCTAAGCTTGTCCAGAAAATACATTTTATTTCTGGGTGCACAGGACCAGTTCCAGTGTGGGCCAGATGCTGAAAAATAAATTCATAAATCTGTCTTTTTTGAAGTTTCACAAATCAGAGGAAGGTTTCACAAATCACAAACTATGTTTTATGCATTCCTACGAGCCCAGAATAATCTAAAACAGGTTTGAAGAGTGTATGTATTGTAGGTTGAGCTAGAGCAGAATAAAAATGGTCAGAGTAGAGAAAAATTGGGTGTATTAGCCCTTTAGCCATTTCCCGAATCGGAAGTTAACTTTAGCCTCGTATGAAAACTAGTGATTGAAACCACTTACAAATCTCTGAAAATCTACGCTTTTTAATTAAAAAAGGGTATTAATAACGTTTCAGTCAAGTCAGTATTAGAAATCGTGGTCTTTATATCATATCTAAATTATATATAAAGTTAATATTATTACTTTAACTGTTTTAACAAACAGGGAGACCAGAAAAATCAAATAGCTAAGTTTAAGCTAAGCTACAATTGCTGATAGCTTTATTTATGTAGCTTTTGTGTTAGCTAGCTTGTGAACTCCCTGCATTCGTTTTAAGACTGCGTGTTAATATTGATACAATTAGCTATGAAACACGGTGCCTTTGCAATAATTCTCTGGTAAAGCTTTAAACGCTATAGTGCCTACATTTAAGAACTAAGAACGGTTGCAACAATTAGTTAATTTCATCGTTATCTTTCTTTCTTTATCCATCATCCTTATCCTTACCTTTCCTCAATTGAAACCCGCCGAGTATGGTTGAAACAAAAACAACGTAGCGGCCGCCAAAAAAAAGACCAACTTCCTTTCGAGGTCTTTTGCTCGTCGATTTTCCGGTAAAAGTAATGACACGCCATCTCTGCTCTCGACACACCAGCTGATGTCTGCAGCCAGGTCCTACTCCGATGCTTTATAACTTTGACACAGAGCTGCTACGTAGTATTCTACTGGTTTATGTAGTATCTTACTCTTTAGCCATTGGCTAAAGTGTATTCAAAATGACTCAAATTCTATGTTTTAAGCTGAAGGTGGCGCTATACTGTGGTATTTAGGCAGAATTTTTAATTTTGAAAGAAAATGCACCAAAATGCTAAAATATGAATACACACATTTAAAACACTATCAGACACTCATTTATACAGTTTATCAGCAAAAAAAGTAAATTTAGACATTACTTGCTCTTTAAAGAGTTGTTAAAGTGTTGAAAAGAAGTAGGGCTGAAACAAATCATCAAATGGTTCGATACATTAAGTTCCTCAATTCATTTCTTTACTGATTCGAAGCTTCGTTAAACGTGCACTTCACATTCTGAACACATTTGGTGCTGTGTCAGAAAAAAGAGAAACCAGCAACGACGGAAAGCATTGTTAGAGGCAGAAACGGTTCAACGTTTGGATCAAGAGTTAAACTACGAGCAAACTACTGAATTGGCTGACTGAGTGGAGGTGGTTTATAGATGTTGCAACCATTATGTCAGAAGGGAACCCCCCCCCCCACTTTTTAAAAGTATGCACACACACCTTTTGCTCTTTCGATTGTTTCAAAGAAATCCGTTCCACTTGATTAATTAGAAATGACTCCGTCTGCTGAAGTCCGTTCCACGTTTTCCTGGTTGCTCTGCTGCATGCATGGTGGACGTGTCTGACATGGTTGTCAACAAAGTTAGAAAATAAAAGACAGAACAAACCAAAGTGAAACTACAGGCTTGCGGAAGCTGGAGGACGAGTCAGTGCCATTACTATCCCATAATAAGCAGTGTCCTTGTCTGATCCCTCCACATGCATGGGGACATGAGGACATTTCTCACAAAGAAGCATAACATAAGTAAAAATGTCCAGAATGAATGCTGACAGATGCTTTGAAACCCTCCGTCCCCCAGTTCTGGTTAGAACTCGGTTTGCCCGTGGGTGATCTGGGTGAGGCCACAGAACCTGCAAAGACTCAAAAGGTCTGGAAAACGACCGGTTGGGCTGGCTCCGGTGAAGTGGAGACGGCCATACTGGGAAGTTTCAGTAATGGAAACACACTCGTACCAGTTCTGATTCTTTGTTCCACCGTGCCAGGGGGGATGTGGTGGTGGTGATCGGGCCAGTGAAAGCTCTGCTGGTGATCAATTCAGCCTCTGTCCATCCATCCATCCATACATCCATCCATACATCCATCCATACATACATACATACATACATACATACATACATACATACATACATATTATAAACAAAATAAACCCAAGAAAGGATGAGGGAAATGTGTTCATGACACTGAAGCACCAAAAACAGTGTTCTTAATTGATACCCAGTAAACATAACAAAATACCAATAAAGTAATAAATATTATATATATACATACATAGTTATATATGTCTACATAGGAATATGTATTTATGTATCAAAAACAATAACAACACTAAGAAAATAAGACAATAACATTAAAAAAAATCTGCAAAGGTGATGCAATCCGATATGGCTGCTACCTGATGATGTCATAATATGCAAATTATGTGAGTGAATTTGATCCTATCACAAAATTTGGCTCATACTGAAGATTTTTCTAATTTACAATATTCCTCCATCTCTAACCAGATTTAAGCTGCAATCTCTTTAAATAGTGATATAAAAAAAATTCATATTTTACTGAAAAAACTACGGCGCCTAAAGGGTTAATACGACGTAAAGAACAAAGTCTGGGTAGAGTGAGGTGAGTTTGCAGGGATCACTGCAGAGATAAACACCACCCAGTCATACGCAGCTGTGCTCACCAACACCCGTCTGTATGAGCGTCAGAAGGCTCAGCTAATAACCGTCCATAAGAAAGTTCATGATGCTGGAAGAGTAGCCTTTCTCTGTGGTGGAAGAAGAACCAAGTTTATTTATACAGCACGTGTCACAGACCGAGGTCACACAAGGAATTACAATTAAACGCTGAACACTAAAGCTAGAGAATAAGACAATGAGTAGAAAACAACAGGCTCCGCCCACTGCTCAATCACCTAGTAACCCACTACAGGACATATACTAATAACAACTACAATAAATCTCCCAAAATGCTAATTTGTAAGATTCCTTTGCTTTGTAGTGCTTTAGCCTGCTGAGAGCTTAAAAGTTAAAGATTGTTACTGACAGCAGTGACATCTACAGTTGTGGTCAGAAGTTTACATACACTTGTAAAAAAATATAATATAATGGCTCTACTGAGTGTCCCGTTATTTCTAAAACTCTGATTTTTCTCTGATAGAGTGATTGGAACAGATACTTCTTTGTCACAAAAAACATTCATGAAGTTTGGTTCTTTAATGTCTTTATTATGGGTTAACAGAGAAAAGTGATCACATTTGCTGGGTCACAAATATACATACAGCAACACGAACTAGCAATTTTGGTGACTTAGAAACATGTCAGTGAACTGAGCTTCATAGCATGGCCTCTTAACTTCTTGTGAGTGATTATGAGTGACTACAGCGGGTGACTTCTCTTAGGCCAGGTAAATAGGGCTCATTGGATACAAACGCCCACAAACGCTACAATGGGAAAGTCAAAGGAGCTCAGCATGGATCTGAAAAAGCGAATTATTGACTTGAACAAGTCAGGAAAGTCACTTGGGGCCATTTCAAAGCAGTTGCAGGTCCCAAGAGCAACAGTGCAAACAATTGTTTGTAAGTATAAGGTGCATGGCACTGTTTCATCACTGCCAAAATCAGGAAGAAAACGCAAGCTATCACCTGCTGCTGAGAGAAAATTGGTCAGGATGGTAAAGAGTGAACCAAGAATCACCAAAAAGTAGATCTGCCAAGAATTAGAAGCTGCTGGAACACAGGTGTCATTGTCCACAGTCAAACGTGTTTTGCATCTCCATGGACTGAGAGGCTGCCGTGCAAGAAGGAAGCCCTTGCTCCAAAAGCGGCACCTTAAGGCTCGACTGAAGTTTGCTGCTGATCACATGGACAAAGATAAGACCTTCTGGAGGAAAGTTCTGTGGTCAGACGAAACAAAAATCGAGCTTTTTGGCCACAATGCCCAGCAATATGTTTGGAGGAGAAAAGGTGAGGCCTTTAACCCCAAGAACACCATGCCTACAGTCAAGCATGGTGGTGGGAATATTATGCTGTGGGGCTGTTTTGCTGCCAATGGAACTGGTGCTTTACAGAGAGTAAATGGGATAATGAAGAAGGAGGATTACCTTCACATTCTTCAACATAACCTAAAATCATCAGCACGAAGGTGGGGTCTTGGGCGCAGTTGGGTGTTCCAACAGGACAATGACCCCAAACACACATCAAAAGTGGTAAAGGAATGGCTAAATCCGGCTAGAATAAGGGTTTTAGAATGGCCTTCCAAAAGTCCTGACTTAAACCCCATTGAAAACATGTGGACAGTGCTGAAGAAACAAGTCCATGTCAGAAAGCCATCAAATTTAACTGAACTTCACCAACTCTGTCAAGAGGAGTGGTCAAAGATTCAACCAGAAGCTTGCCAGAAGCTTGTGGATGGCTACCAAAAGCGCCTGATTGAAGTGAAAATGGCTAAGGGACATGTAACCAAATATTAGCACTGCTGTATGTATATTTGTGACCCAGCAAATGTGATCACTTTTCTCTGTTAACCCATAATAAAGACATTAAGAACCGAACTTCATGAATGTTTTTTGTGACAAAGAAGTATCTGTTCCAATCACTCTATCAGAGGAAAATCAGAGTTTTAGAAATAACGGGACACTCAGTAGAGCCATTATATTATATTTTTTACAAGTGTATGTAAACTTCTGACCACAACTGTAAGTGTTTATTCATTTTCTTTTTGACTGAATAGTTGCTGATTTTATCTTGGAGACGTTTCTCCTCACATAAGCTTCAGATCTAAAGCTTGGGTTGTGAGTAGGAGGCTTAGAAGTTATGGTCAGAAACAAACACGCTGATTGTGATGGAAGATTTTATTGTTCCTAAAGTAGAAATATGTTTTTATCTAAATGAAGTTCATGTTCTTGTTCCCTTTTTCCACATCTTGTAGCCAGTATCACTCATGGTGTAAATATAAAGGTATGATGGTCTGTAACATCATGTGTCTGTGTTTCCTACAGATGTTCAACAGCTGGTGCTGGTTAAAGAAGAAGATCCTGAAGAACAGAGTGCTGGTGTGGACCAGCAAGACCCAGAACACCTCCACATAAAGGAGGAACAGGAGGAGCTCTGGACCAGTCTGGAGGGAGAGCATCTCTGTTTGAAGGAGGAGACTGAAGCTGTCGGGTTTCCTGTTACTGCTGTTTCTATAAAGAGTGAGGATGATGAAGAGAAACCTCTGGTCTCACAGCTTCATCAGCAGCAAATAGAAGACAGAGATGTTCCAACCAGCAGCTCAGCTGACCAGATGACAGCAGAAACTGGTGGAGGAGCAGGAACTAGCAGGAACCCTCATGAACAAACATCTGATTATTCAGAGACTGAAGTTAGTGGAGATGATGATGATGATGATGATGATGGTGTGAATCTGGACTCTGAGTTGTCAGACTCTGGGTCTGAAACTGGAGATGAAGAAGATGATGACTGGAATGAGAGCAGGTCTTCTGAGTCAGATGGTAAGTCTGTCAACAAGTTCTTCACAAGTGGTCTCCAGAGACACGTGAGGGAGACAAGTCATCCAGCAGTCAGGTCTTCAGGCTGTTTGGTTAATAAGAAATGTGTTAGAGTGAAGCAACATGTAGACTCGTGCAGGAAAGTCCAGAAGAAACCTAAATAATTTAGTCTTGATGACTGTGGAAAAAGGTTTACTACAAATGTAAACAAACAAATCACATGAGAGTCCACACATAGCAGCTGCTGTTCCAGAGTATGGGCCAGCCTCATCCGACCCATACTCTGCTTCTGGACACTAACAGGATGGCGCCTGTGTTTGGAATAGCCACAGGTCCGTTTCCACATTCCCGCCTGGCCACGGGGCAGCGCTGTGTCTCCGTCCATGTTTCCTCGGGTCTGTTTATCCTGGTTCTTCAGTGGTTTCCCTTCCTGTTCCCTCCATGAGTGGACTTTACACACCGTGGATCTGACCTGCTAACTCCAACGGTTTCTGCTTCTGGCAGGATCCTGGTGTAGCTACCCAGGGAGTCCAGATGCTGCAGGATGAAGTGTAGAGCCATGCTGATGGTGTAACGTGATGAAAGTGGTTACTTTTACTGAATGATCAATAAGATGTGATATTCCATCTAATTATAAATGATCAATCTTATTGGTCTTTGAATATTTGATTTAATACGACCTTAGGAACACACACTTCATATTAATTCAGACAGATTCAGGAATATAGTTTATAAAAATGAGTTTAATTCTATATTTCTAAACTAATGATTACATGACTGTTAGGGATTGTATCAATAACCCAATACCTGCAGCTGGAGAGAGGGGAGGGACAACAAGCAGACAAGTCACCAAACTGCAATCAGGGGCAGAAGCTCAAGGCAACTGCCCCAAGTTTCTGCTCTCAGAGTTTATTTATAACAAAGATAAGACTGTGTGTGTGTGTGTGTGTGGGGGGGGGGGGGGGGGGGATGCTTTCAGGCATAGAATAATACATTCAGTTAATAATAAACATAACATTTCCATAACATAATCCCTCCTGTTTATCCGAATAGGATAAGCAAACAAGAAGAAAACAACAACACAAAGAACAAATAAAGTAAAATAATAAAGTAAAGAACAAATAAAATGATAAAACACGATAAGGCAAACACAACTGACAATAACATCAAACAGCAGTTTACAGAGATACAAGTGAGATAATGGAAATCAGTTAAATCAACACCATCATAAACTAAAGAAGAGCTATTTCATACATCTTGAAGTGAATTTACTGTGGTGCAACAATTCTACAATTTACAGCAGTTCCTGTAAAGAGATTGGGAAGGATTAGCAAAACCATATAAAATACAGAAAACATCAGGAGAGTTTATTGTGTAACAATGTGTAATTACATCTTACGTATGAACCATAAAATGTGAGATTGCAAAAAAATATGAAATATCAATCTGATGTATCCTTGAATATTTTTAACCAGAAGATTAGAACTTTTTATTGCAGAGATTATTTACCACTTTGTATTAACTCAGACAAGAGAAAGAGTCAGGTTTAAAAGTTTAAGAAGATTTATTTCTACACAATTAAAAAAATAATGTTAAGGGTACATGGAATGTGTTAAATAAATTAATACGAAATTCAAAAGAAGCATGTATAGATATTCACAGGCACATGCAGAGGGGGGTGCGGAGGGTGCTTGAGACCCTGCCCCTTTTGTCCGAAGTGCCCAAAGTGCCCTTTTTCCGGTCGTTCGTCAGATTTTACCGTACAAAACTGTTATACTGTGATACAAATCGGGCACTAGGACCATGCGGAGGCAGCCGCCTCAAGCTGAAGGCTATTTTCCCTTAGACCCGCCTACAAGCTCACTGGCTCTGCCACGTCATACTAACGTGTGATTGGTTGTCCTTGCTGTCGCTCTACCTTGTAGCCATGGAGACGACAGACCGGTGTTTTCCCTGCGGACAGGGGTCTGCGTTCATCTACCTGTAAGGTTTTTTCTGCCTGCTTCAGGTCAGCTGGATGGATTTTAATATCAGAGCTTTTGTTTACGTGCGTTTGAGTCCGTGGCTAGTGTGTGTGGAGCAGAGTCAGGTAGCTGCTTGTCTGGGACAGAAAATGAGACATGAGAGAGACTTCTCCTGAAGAGTTGCAGAAACTCAAAGAATCAATGTCTCACTCTAGATTCTCCGGGTTAAAATTTCTGAATTACTAATCGAATAAAAATACTTCAAACGCTTTCTAAAAGTACATAAAACGAGCTTTCCAACGAGGTATTACATGATGTAATTCATGCTACTCTAAAAATCGCTATTAGAAGGAAACCAGCTTTGCAGCGTCACAGAAAGAAACGGTGCGGACCGCGACTGGAGAGCAGAGAACCGAAAGGAGGAGATGATCTGATCATCTTCATCAGCAGCTTTTATAAAGTTATGGAAACGTCACAAATAAAATCCACCTGGTTGGTCAGGTGTCCCAGAAGGCTGTTTCTGTAGATGGTGACATGAGGAGGGACAGATTAAAGTCACGCTGGTTTTTATTTGAACACTCAACTGTTTACTAAATGATTCAGCTTCATTCCAGCATCATTTATACATACAATAAATATTTATTTAGCTGAAAATATAATTTTGTCAGTGCAGAATTTTATTAGTTGACTTTTTGTAATGAAATGTTTACATTTAACCATTTATCTGGCTTATTGATCTTCATAATGCTGGTAGAAATGCAGCTACAGTTGTGAAGTAGCCCATGAGTGTTATTTTATGATACCTAGTATTTATTTTATTGTATCCCGTTCTCTGGACCAGAGCATAGACCTGTGGTCACAGACAGGCTGCAGTCATTAAACTGGTTAACATGAGGTCAGGGGTAGGGCTGCTCAATTAATCGAATTTTAATCACGATTACGATCTGAGTTTTGAACGATTATAAAAAACAAAACAAGCCGATTATTTGCTCCTCCCGCCTGCGCTGCCCCGAGTTGCAAATGAAGCGCTCCTCCCACAGTGTTGCCAATTTAGCGACTTTGACGCTATTTCTAGCAGCTTTTCAGACCCCCTTCTTGACTTTTTAACTTAAAAGTATCTAGTGAACACCTCAGAAACATCTCTGGTAACCCTTAGCTACTTTCTGGATAACTATCGTCGACGTTTCCTGCAGGTTAGCTAAACACCGCCTGCTCTCCGGACCGTTCTTCAGGACATTAGGAAAGGGAATGATGTAGCGATGTCGGTCGCTAAAAAAACAGCTCTCGGAGCCGGCTCCCTGTTGGAGTAACCAGAGTGAGTGACACACACCGCACCTGCGGACTCCTGAGCCACTAAAAACGGCTAAATGTGCGCGTGCGGCGTGCTAAACACACGTGCAGCTTGCCCCGATTGCTGTGAGACCGGGTTGGGGGTGGGGGGAGCAGCTGTGGTTGGGACAATTATTACATTAACTGATGGACTTGTAAATAAATAGTTTATAAATAAGGTAGAAATAAGTTCCTCACGCTGATAAATAATAACTAATCTCTGAGGACACGGTGCTAGTGCACGCTCCTACAGCACCTTGACACGACTAAATACGTATTATGCAATTTTTTGTGAACATCAATTTATTTGCATGTATTTGTTATGAATGCCACAGTATAATTCTTGCTGTCAGTATTTGCAAGATATTGGTATTTGGGTCTGTACTGGTTAGACTTAAATGAGTTAAACCAAGGTCATAGCCCTTGGGTCATAGACTATGAGCTATAAGTATATTGGTCTTTTTATACTGGGAATCAGGAGTTATTTTAGTGATCATCTTGTTTCTTATTTTCGTCCTGATTGTGCCCTGAGCAGTTTTATGACTGAATAAAAACAAATAAAATCAACATAAATTGAAAAATCGTCCTAAATAATCGTGATCTCAATTTCAGTCACCATAATCGTGATTATTATTTTTGCCATAATCGAGCAGCCCTAGTCAGGGGTCACACTGTTTTCTGAGTGTTTGCAACACAGTTCTGAATTTAAATACCGGTAGTTCTTTTGACATAGTTTGCTCAAGTCATTTTGAAGTTCCTGTTTAGTAATAAATGCGAAGAAAATTCAAATCTGTTTTTTTTTTTTCATTTAAGCTGCAGTTTTACAGACTTTAATAAACATAACAGGGTGTCCGTGGGGTTTTAAAAAGTATTAAAAAGTGATAAATACAAATAGTCAAATTTAAGGCCATTAAAATTGTTACATTTGGTCTCAGAGGTATTATTTTTTCCAAATTAGGTATTATTTTTTTCAGACTATCAGGTTTCGTATTCTGAACATCGACATAGAAATATATTCCGAATGAAATGTTTTGAACAAACAAAACAAGCCGATTATTTGCTCCTCCCGCTTTCGCTGCCCTGAGTTGCAAATGAAGCGCTCCTCCCACAGTGTTGCCAACTTGGCGACTTTGACGCTATTTCCAACAGCTTCTCAGACCCCCTTCTTGACTTTTTAAATCTTAAAAGTACCTAGCGAACACCTCAGAAACATCTCTGGTAACCCTTAGCTACTTTCTGGATAACTGTCGTTGACATTTCCTGCAGGTTAGCTAAACACTCCGCCTGCGCTCCGGACCGTTCTTCAGGACATTAGGAAAGGGAATGATGTAGTGATGTGTTGGTCGTTAAAGAAACGGCTCTCGGAGCCGGGGTTCTGATAAAACGTCCTACTTTGACAAAACGTCCTACCCGTAGGATAATTTTACGCTGCCTCATGACAAACTGCCCTACTTGGCAAAATGTCCTACTGTACGTAATTTATGCACATTTCTGCTGCCAAACAATAATTCCAGCACTAATTTAAGTAGGTATGACAGTTTACCACTTAACTTTGCCAATCAGAGTATGTTTGTAGCTGATATCTTCATGAAGCCAGTACGGTTTGACACTTCTTTTTACCCATTAAAGTGTGCTTGTAGGTCATATTCACAAAGGTAGCATGCTTTGGCACGTAATTTTTATGCTTCTAGTTTATAATAACAAAGGTATCATGCTTTGGCACGTAATTTTTATGCTTCTAGTTTATAATAACAAAGGTATCATGCTTTGGCACGTAATTTTTATGCTTCTAGTTTATAATAACGAAGGTAGCATGTTTTGGCACGTAATTCTTATGCTTGTAGTTTATAATAACGAAGGTAGCATGTTTTGGCACGTAATTTTTATGCTTCTAGTTTATAATAACAAAGGTAGCATGCTTTGGCACGTAATTTTTATGCTTCTAGTTTATAATAACAAAGGTAGCATCCTTTGGCACGTAATTTTTATGTTTCTAGTTTATAATAACAAAGGTAGCATGCTTTGGCACGTAATTTTTATGCTTCTAGTTTATAATAACGAAGGTAGCATGTTTTGGCACGTAATTTTTATGCTTCTAGTTTATAAAAACAAAGGTAGCATGCTTTGGCACGTAATTTTTATGCTTCTAGTTTATAATAACAAAGGTAGCATGCTTTGGCACGTAATTTTTATGCTTCTAGTTTATAATAACAAAGGTAGCATCCTTTGGCACGTAATTTTTATGTTTCTAGTTTATAATAACAAAGGTAGCATGCTTTGGCACGTAATTTTTATGCTTGTAGTTTATAATAACAAAGGTAGCATGCTTTGGCACATAATTCTTATGCTTGTAGTTTATAATAACAAAGGTAGCATGCTTTGGCACGTAATTTTTATGCTTCTAGTTTATAATACCAAAGGTAGCACAATTTGGAGCTTGTTTGTAGAAGCAGTCTGCATGCCAAGGTGCTTAAGTTATACAGCTGTCACCAGTGAAGTGATTGGAACACCTGACTATATAAACTTTGACAATGAACTCACTCATTATAGTTACAGTATATATTTACTGAATATATTTACAGATACATATATTTGACATTTATAGATCCAACAGAACACAGGGACAAAGAACTGAAAAAGAAATAGTATTCATAACAAATTATGCACATTTGTTGCACAAGTACTTGACCAGGCTGCTCTCATATTGAGCACATCCAAAATGTGCCCATCTGAGACAACTCTCACACTGCACCTGGAGAGGGAGAAGGGAGGGGGGTGTAAGTGTGTTAAGTGTGTAAGTTTTTACTACTCTTCTGGTTCCAACAAAGAGTTCTCCATCTGCAGTAAAACAATATATATTTAGAATTTAATGTAACCACATATATGAGTTGTTAGGATTAACAATAAATTACTGACCCTTTTGTTTGAATTTTGAGGCATATCTTCTGAGGTTTTGCCTCTGAGCCTTGTCATATCCTGAAGGGTAGGAGCCCGCAGAAATGAATGTGTAAATCTCTTCCCACTTCTTCTCCATATCTATGAATGTAAGTAGACATTTTCTTCTGAGCTTCAATATGTGCAGTTAACAATGCAAATAATTTAAATTATTAAATAGCGACATTACCGAAACAGCCTTAAAACACCGAAGCTGCGGATTCAGAAGTGTTGTCCAAATACCACATGTCCAGTAACCACAACAGACTTAACCAAAGCTGCAAATTCGACAGTTTTGTGCAGAAAGCAGATAGCGACTTTACTTTAATATTGACAAACAATCACAAAGGCTTAAATAAATCAATAAAAAGTACTAATACTTAACTACTTACCTATTTTCCTGCAAATCTGACAACGGAGTAGCATGAAATCACAGCCGGATGCGCTTTGCTTCCCTTTTTGTGTTGTGCGCATGCGCGCACATGCGCAGGAACGACGGGTAGGACGGTTTACGGGGTAGGAGAAATTCCCGGAACACCTGGTTTCCTGTTGGAGTAACCAGAGTGAGTGACGCTGTTAGGTAATTTGATTTTATCCCATATTACCTTAAAGGACGACACACCCTTTGATAGAGAGAGAGAGTAAATTGATTATTTGTAATGTCCATGTGTGTGTCTCAACCAGCCCCCACTCTGCTTCAGCCTTCAAAGCTTTCTCCTCACCTGCTCTGTATACCTGCATTCTGCAATTATCTGGTAGAAAATACTTAACCTCCATAACTAGAGCTGAAACAACTAATCGATTTAATCGATTATAATCGATTATTAAAATAGTTAACAACTTTTTTAGTCATCGATTAGTTGTTTAATAATCATATTTTACCGCATAAAGTCTATTTTTACCACAATCTGACATCGGTTACAAGCTGTTAAATTTGCCGCCAGTGTGTGGCAGTAATGAGTCACTGATCTACCAGTGGAGCCGTAGAAGAAGAAATGAGCCAATGAGTGCCCTCGGTTTCCATGACGTATCACGTTACTGACTCTCATCTTGCTGTGAGAGATGGCGGAACAAGAGGAAATACGGAAGAAAAATAGAAGCGACAAAACTGAAGAGAAACCCCGGACAAAAACCTCACGAGTATGGGAGCACTTCACTCTAGATGCCTTGAAAAGACGGGTGACCTGCAAAATATGCAAAAACCATCTAGCATGGCACGGAAGCACGGCGTCCCTAAGTGAACATTTGAGACTAAAGCATGTGGGGGCTGATGCAGCAGAGAAAGAGCACCGCGGTCAAGTGAGCCGTCATTTGGAAGAGCCAGCCTGGTAAGTAACAGAAAATAAACAAGCTGGACTTGGTGTTTTAGCTGAGTTTGTTATAGTGGATGTAAAACATGTTTTTTTGCCGTGTCAATCTGCGGTGTTCTACTTCTAATTGACTAGATGCAATCGTGAATCTCCTCCGTGTTGTGTATCATGCGCTTGCCAAATTTAGCACGTCTGTTTATAAGAATGTTCTCGTTAAGAGAAAAACGGCACAAACCCACAACTGTGTTCCTCATTCAAAAAAGGACAACTCCGCGGAGAAAAATATACAGACAAGCTGTGTCCAGGTGAATATAACGCGGCATAGTTGTACACTTTCAATTTTTAAATACAGGAGAAATTCAGAAAGTCATTTTTTTTACTATTAAAAGACTGTTTTACTATCTAACGCTGTAAAACGCCTCACAACACATTTTTATCATGTTTCTTAAACAGTATTACACAAAATAAACATTTTTCACATTTCTCTGGCTAATTTAAACACTCCCGACTCAAAGTAAAAACCTCATGAGCTTCTTACTTAGAGCTTTTTAATAGTAAAAAAAATTGACTTTTTTTCTGAATATCTCCTGTTGCGGGCTATTTTGTAGAACGTAACTCTCAAAATAAATGATCACTGTATATTGTTAATTAATTCAAATAATATAATATTGATTTAGTGTTGTAGTGTGTGTGCTGCTTTATTTTATATGTGTATTTATTTCAGTCTATTTGTGTTTCTTATGCAGAAAAAAAAAACAAGCAACGATGGACAACTACATGGGGAAGAAGACACTCACCCCCCAGCAATTCATACCACTTACAAACTCTATTCTAAACATGCTGGTAAAAGACATGAGGCCACTATCCATGGTGGAAGGAGCAGGCTTCCAGCTAATGCTAAAAATTATTCTGGACTGATATTTTGCACTGTTTAGCTCATTTTATACTGCTGACTGTGTTCATGTGCAATAAAATAGATTGCAGTCAACTGCACAATTCTCTTATGTTTTTTTTTCTTAACTGAAATGCATCCATCACTTGTATAGGTTAAATAGCTAAACAATAACAAACCGATTAATCGAAAAAATAATCGACAGATTAATCGATTATGAAAATAATCGTTAGTTGCAGCCCTATCCATAACCCTGGAACCTGAAATAAACACACATGACAACCAGGAAGACATTTTACACTGAATTAGCCAAATGGGGGGAGATCACCATGACACATAACTCTCTCCAGAGCTATCTGCCAGGCGACTCCCCCTCCTCAAGAGTCTTCAGTGGTTTTATTCACCAAATGGATGGGGGGAGAAGGCGGACCTTCTCAAATTACAGAGTCACAGAGTTCTCTCAATTAACATCTTTGCTCAACCTTTTTATGAACAGCCAACACAGAGATTCATGATGTGTAATGGGCATCTTTTAGGTCTCAAAAAGGTACATTTATAAAAATACCCAACATTCCCTCCTGATGTGACTTTTTGAGCAATAAAAGATTAAACCAATAAAACAAAATTAACATGAAATTAGGACACACCTAACCTGGAATTTGAAATGACCAATTAATCAATCGGATTTTAGTTCAACATTAAACCAGACATCAAACCCAATTTTATCCTGTATTTCTAGCTTTATTAATTTATTCCCCTGAATGCTACCTTTGAGTAATGATTATCCTGTCAACAAAACCCAGAGCAAGAGTTAAAACCTGCAATTAGGAATGAATAAACTAGACAACAAAAACCTACACAATAATCTTGAGTTCCTAGCTTTATTAAAGTAACCCATATCATTTGTCATCAAACACTTGTGGATCTTCTGCTCCACATCCGTCGTTACCTCCTGTGCTGCAAACGATCGCTTGTAGGACTGAACAGGTGTCACAGGTTTTGAGTTTTCTGTGGCTGGCTGACCTGCAGTTCTGGTTCCCTCCTGAAGTTGGTGTTTGACCTCTGCACCCCATCTCCAGTTCATGTGTGATATCTCGGTCACACTGTGCTCTCAACTTTGCGTCGTCCCGCTGACGTGTCGACGCAGGTCACTTCCTGAGAGAGCTGACTGCCCCACAGCGGGTTTTGTGGTTTTACATCAGCTCACAGGTTGGTACCGGTTTGGGCTAACTGATCCACTTGGTTTGTGGTTTAACATTAGCTCAGCCGGTGACGGTGGTTTGTGTCACTTCCGTCTTGGACTGCAAGTCAGCAGTTTGCCATGTCTTTCGTGCTTCCTCCATCTTGGATTGTAGGCTCCACCTCCTTCTGAGCACACCTACAAGTCACAAATGCTTCAAAGACCCACAGCAGGAAGCCACAGACACAGACCAATTTGCATTCAGTTAGATATGCGTTCAACTTCCACAGCTGCTTGCCCAAAGGAACTCAGATCCTCTGAAGTCTTCTCCTGAGACTGCCATTCCTGCATTCGGAGAGTATCAGGACAGGACATAGCAAACCATCTTGTGTTGCAATCACAATACCTTCCTGGTTGTTGAGGGTCAATGGGGCACAAAGCGTCTTGTGTCCGATCTGTGTCCTCTGATGTTTTCTGCAGGAACCAATGCAGCCAGCCACTGATCTTTATCACCTGTTAATCGAGTTCCCACCATCACATCACAGCAGGACACAAATCAAGTAGTCTCCCAGCCTGTCTTTGCATAGGGAACAATTTGCATTTAGGAAAACAGTGTACCCAAAAGTTGTGCTGCCTAATTGTTTAAATTAATAAACATTGATGTCTGGTTTAGCATGAAACTAGTCAGATATGGTCTGTCCTAAATTATCACAAACAAAATAAAACACATCCAAATTCTTTAACACTAGCTTGTCTCAAAAGGAGTTTATCAGAGATTCTATCACACTAAGGCGGAGTTAACACACTCACGTCACAGAGGCTTCAAAGGGTTTTTCACAAAAGGGTGCCACATGAGACTTCCAGTCTAGCTTGATTTAGCTGCTTAGGCTCACACATTTGCATTCAGGCAAAAGGCATTCTAATTTAAATGAACTAGCCCGTCTCCACCTTGTAAGGTAATCAAAACTTTATCAGTTACACCACCCCCTCCTGTGGAGGTAGGGTTCTCACACATTTACAGGATCTAAGTTAATCAAAAGGAAGTCACTCAGATTTATTAAACCTTATAACCCAAACAGAAAATAAATGATGGTAATAGCTCAAATGTTGAAATAGTTACAAAACAGCCTTACTGTTGAGTAAAATAAAATAGCATTATGGTCTGCAGGGGCTGAGTTGATGTTTACATTTCAAACAAGATTTGCATAGAAATAGCATACAGGAAAAATCTAGCACCGTGTTGATTCAATCATGCTATTAAATTAAATCTATCAATGGTCGATAAGACACATTTAACGGGAAGTTTTTACGGTTCATAAAAAATCTAAACACCCTCCTGTAAAGCCAGTCTTATGGCAGGAACACCAAGTTTAACATGATTTAGTCATATGATAAAATGCTGAGATACAAAAACTGTTACTGCATAGTGTAGAATTCTATTTACCTAAGAACATAACCCACTAAAGTAAAACTGCATAATCTAAACAATAATACCGAACATGGTAACACTAGCTTACATCTATCAGATTAGAAAATTTAAACAATAGGTCTCATAAAATCAGAATGTTCAAATTAAACCACGTACACCAGGCTGACATATTTAGTTTAGGGCTGTTTAAACTATCTATATGGAACTGTCTATAGTTTGCATTCCAGTAAAGGAACAGCCTACCACTTGTGAAATAGAGACCATCTTGAGTCAAAGTTGTATTTTTAATCTTGGTTCATGAGCAAAAGGTATCTTCGGATCCAGAGTAGCTGCTGCACAGCTAATCTACCAGAGCTATCATAAGCTAGTTATAAGGTTATGTGCCTCTTAAAACACAAAATCATGAATTTTCCCTTCTAATTCTGTAATTTGGGGTCAAATCTATCAATAAAAGATTAGGGGAACTACTTAAGTCTAACTACATGATCTTTTAGAAAGAGTATTTATTTATTTTAATAAAATAATAAAAGACCTGTAGACCAGAATATCTAATTTAACCTGAGGCAATCGCGTGAATCATCTCCATATTATTTGGGCATTCATTCAGCCGGTGAAGCTGAGGGAGTTATTTACTTAGGACGGATGTATTTATCCCTGCTTAACTGTATTTCCTTAACATTCTATCTACGCAAGTCATTTTGTATACTAGTTCAGTAAGAGTTATCATGCAGATACGAGCAATGACTTTTTCAGATAGTATTTAGTTAATCATCACACCTCAAACATTTCTTTAAAACTTCCTTTTTGCCTTCTCTCTTTTCCTCAACCATTTCTTTAAACTGTCTATTTGCCTTCTCTGTTTCTTCAACCATTTCTTTAATTCTGTCTTTTCTCCATCTGTCTGCTTTTTTCATTAACCTTCTCTGCTAACCTCTCATTTCTTCCTAACCAAACCATCAAACATTTAGTGGCCTGCAGCCTTATCAAAACCATCCCCCATAACACTTCGTTGTCTCTTCATACACCCCCTCAAACCTTCACCCCTCCTTTTCCTTTCTTCTATTTCTCCAGCATCTCTTAGGAAACACATACACACACACACCTGAGCCTTCTGACCCACACTTACACATCACAGGATGTTAGTGTTATTCATACATGTACAGAATAAAGAACAAGACAACACAGAACAAAACAGAAACATAGAACATAGACTATCTAGAATCTGCAGGTTTCACACAGAACAAACTAGGCTCAAAGCCTCAGTCACACACATTGTCATGTAATGGGACCTTTCATTCATTCAGAGATCTTGGCCGAGATACACACATTCAGGCTTCAGAACTTCGGCCCAAAACTTCTCTCACACTCACACACACACAGAAACGGACCTGCAGGCTTTCACTCACACACATTCAGAACATGGACTCAACCCCCCCAGATCAGACCAGATCCGGTTAGGCCCAAAAACCTTTACTCATACACAGACGGAGCAAAACTCTGTCAGAAATTACCATGCC